GATGGTAAAAACAGCAGTGTCAAATTCAGTAAGCCATTACAGTGTAACGTGTCAAAATTGTCCAACAGCAATTATCTTGCCCAAGATAAAACTTAACATGTCTGGAAGGATTTCCGTAGTAAATTTTTTCCTGGGGTTTATGACACAACTATAAAAAAATTAATTGAACTGAAAATGTGCACAAGTTCAAAGAATTCTGTGGATTCTCTGTAAAAAAAAAAAGTTAAAGCAGCAGTCAACATTTTTCTTCCAGCACTTTTTGTCACATACACCTGCATTAAACTCTGTTGTCCATGCTATACATTGCCAACATGCATTATTGCAGACACCACCACTCTGAGCACCCAGGAAGCACTTTAGACTTCAAAGGCACTTTCACACACCCCTGCATACCGCACCCGTAAGGTACAGTACATGAGGCAGCCAATAAGGAGAACTCACCGAATGGGATGCACTGAAGAAGCCAGATGCACAGAAAGGCTGGCTCGCCACTTACAGTTCTCTCATTATTTTTCCAATGCCACATAAACAGCACCTTAAAACCAAGGCTGCCCAAATATGCTCTTAGACCCATGAAACTTCTAATACCACAACAGGTACTTGCGATGGAATCGGAAGGCCTGACTAGGTAGTACACCAGCAAGAAAAAAAAAGACTGAAAGACTGCAGGAGAGGCATGCCAGACAGACAGCAGATGCAGCTGCTGGCTGAAACAATACGGTCCACCCCTCCATGACAGATCATGTGTTCCTACCACACCGCCACGGCCCTGCTCCCTGCCTGAGCAAGCTCCACTGCATGTCAGATCCTGCACTGAGCAAGTAAAGCTACAGCTTCAGATTGTGGCAGCAGAGAATTTGTGCACTTTTTTTACTGTCATCCAGTATGAATTAATAGCCATAAAGCTTCTGTTGTAACAATTAGCTATTGTTTGTGAAGCACTGCAATTCCAAGATATCCTAATCAACACAACTCCTCTCCTTTCCTCATATTCTAAAGACACAGCTGTCAGGGTTTTAGTTTCCTTCAAGAAAGAATTATCAAGCTGTATGACTTGTTCTGTGCATATATACACAACTAATTATAAGATTTTAGCTGACCTCCCCTCTTAGAAATTCAGATAAACCTGCTTAACAGAGTTCAACAAATAATTTATGATCCGCAAAAAGGTATTAAGTGGCTTTTATATGCTAGACTATATACTATGTTATCTGCTTCAGTGTAATAGCATAGGCCTGTAGAACCTGCAACACGCAAATTTGTTTGCCTCCCATCTAAAATGGGCGCTTGCTCATGCATCCATTCCCTGGTAAATGCGCATGGGGTAAGATCGTATGCTATTGCTATCAAGCCATGCCTGCTCCACACTAACTGGCTGACAGCTTCCTGTCCCCTGGAGTGTATGCGGTCTCCTAACCTCCTGGCAGTGGCTCAGATCTAGTCTCTGAATGCTCAGCAGCATCTCATGCTAACTGACACCAGAGCCTGTACTGCTATCCAAGTTTCTCCAAGTCTGAGGATGCTGTGTGCCAAGAAATTAAGAAATGGAAGCGAATAGAGAGTTGTCAGATTGGGAAGGTGGCCGGAAAACAGAGACAGTCTTGAAGGAGAGGCTGAAATTAGGTTGGAGAGGCATGCAAGTACAGCAGGAAACCCTGCAGATTCTTCTAGCTACAGAAAGAAACCACTAGCTACAGATTAGAGCTGAATACTGAGAAAGGAATACCCAGTTCCTGGTTTTACAGAAAATAAGCATAGCAAATCTGTGCCCATCAGCTTAAAGCTAGTGAGGCAGTCTAACGCCTGCCAACTCATATGAGTGGTACACCTATTAAAGCATCTGCTTCACTTTCCTTAAATGTTTCTTAACTATGTGCTTGCAAGGATAGAGGTCCTTGTCAGCCTAAACCATTCTGTGACTTTAAGGATAGATACTCAACTGCCTCAGAAGAGGCATATGCCATAGCTTCTGGCTCAAGTAGAATTTTGAAAACAATATTGGATTCTCAAAACTGATAAGAGTGTGGATACAGAACAAGGCCAAAGTCCTAGTGCAGTCTATAATTAAACAATTCCATTCGTATTTTGAAAAAAACCAAACCAAAACAAACAGAAACTGCTTCTTGCCCAACAGTTTTAAAAACAAAAGCCACTTGAGAGGACAATTAAAACAATGTAAAATGCTGCCAAAAGGGAAAAACCCAAGGCCTACATACAATCAACACCTTCCTCAAGCAAAAAAACCTGCTCTGCATGATCCACTGTGTTTAGCCTCCTGTGTGTTTAAACGTGCAAGAAAAGAAACCTGTAACACTTCAGACTGCCTTCCAATAACAAAGTGCTGTATGTTACTAATGTAGCCCTTAACAGGCTTATAAAATCCTCAAGACTCCTCTAACACCATTTGTGGTTGTTGCCCCGCCTGTTAAATAGCACAGGAGGCGACTAAGCACATGTCATCTAAATCCATTCACTTGCCATAAGTTCTCAACTTCTTCTGTCATGGAAACATATACAAACACACAAACATGATTTCCCATCGTGCCCTCAGTCATAAGTTCTAAGTGATGCTGTATCCCTTTTACTTAGGCATATCATCAACTGCACTCTCAAACCACAAGAAGAGATAATTAAGCTCCTTACAGAACAGGTCCAGCACAGGCTAATGCGAGAGAGGATTCTCCTTGCAGTGACTCAGACACCTATTGAGCAACAGGCCTCCGAATCAACAGCTCCATCTCCAAAGAAGTGAAATCCTGGCAGGAGTTCTCCGAGTGCTGCAAGCACAAGGCTAGTATCAATTATGTTGAGCACTGGAAGCTAGCAGACCGCCCTTTTTGGACCACAAGCTGAAAAAAGCCATGAGACAGTGGCTGATTTGTTTATCCTCCTGGGCTATATTTGAACTGGTGATTCACCATGTCCGTCTTACTAATAATTCCTTCAGCTAGCCATTTCAGCCCCCTTCTCTAGCCTCCAGAATTCTTCAGAACTCAACTACTACTCTATACACACTACAAGATGAAGAATGCCACTACTATTACCAGAAAACACAACTAATTCCACCACTCAGAACATACACAGCTCTTAACTTTTAAAAGCTCTGTAAAACCAAAGAACAACTACTGTATTGGACAAAACTGTGTGTGGATTCCCTACAACATCAACTTATGATGGCCTTTGTTCGTGTTTTTTCCTATTGAAGGCATTATGACCACAAATGTCCACCTTGGTCCACATAAGAAAAGCAGTGAACACTACAAGTACTTTTATAATATGTCACTGAAGCTATTCTGTTTCTCAAAATTTTGCTGCAACCTTTTTCAGTCCAAAACTTTTCCTCTTTGGTCTCAAGATGTTTCAGGAATTTCTGCTGTTATTCTGAATTATAGCTATAAAAAGTTATTCTTTGAAGTCTTTCTTAGATTTATTTGCTTGCCAAGAACTCAAAAATAGCTGAACAAAGCAAGCAGCTACAAAGTTAGTTCTCCCATGAGGAAGCATCTGTGCTGGTTTCATTTTCTTGGCTTTCTGGGTGGGGAGGGACGTTTAAATGGCAAGCGACTGGGATGAAGGGGGGAAAAAACAAACAAACAAACAAAACCCGAAAAGCCACACTGAGGAAGACCTGCCAAGATTTAGTACGGCAAAGCATTATGAAGTTCCATCTCTTCAAGGACCTGTTTAGTGAGTGGAAAGACCTGAAAACCTCCCTGTTTTAACTGATCAGAGGTCCAAAAGAAATTGGCAATAACGTCAGCAAGTCTGCCTCTCAACGATTTGATCAGAGGTATAATGCCAAATCTTAGAAATGTTTGCTCTACTGAGCAAGGGGTGGGGGGAAGGGGAAGAAAAAGATCAACTGAGCTGTCCCTCTCATATCAAAGGACCCCTCACGTGTGCTCTATCTTGAAATCTCTGAAAGCGTCTTTACTTTTGCTCTTACACTAGAAATATAGTCACTGTGAACTAGGTTGCATCACTCTAATAGTAGCTAGAATTGCAGAATTATCACCCCAGAAAGTGAAGACATTCACTGCTCTCATATTTGCATCTTTGCTTCAGAGCTGCATGTGAAAGTTACAGAAAGTGATGGCCACACGTATCCTGATAATTGGCATATTTTACAGTAGTTCTTGGCAAGCATACCAGGAACTGTTTTAATTGCTCATTAATAACATACTTGTCTTTGAGGGGTGGGAAAGGGTTAATCTTTTAATTGAGCAGTTCCTACAAAATAGAAGTAAATAAGAAACATTAACTGTACAAAACATGAGTTTCTCCTCAATTTGTACTCAAACTAAAACAGCAGGAAAAATATTTTGTTGATTTTGACTCAAAACAGGCAACGTTATTCCTAACAAGAGAATACTCCCTTCCTGTTTTTCCTGAGCAGTTTACAGGGGTTTTAAACATAAACCCAGGAAAACTTGGCGGGAAGACTCATATGAATGGAAACTCCAGTTTCGCATTTGATACCTAGATATTGGCCAGCATATATGGGCAATGGAATAGTTCCTTTTTATGGGACCCAGACTAAGCTGTAATCTTGACGTTATTCCAAATAAGAAAGTGGTATGGGCTGAATATATTAATATCATCCAGCTGAAACGTCCCTGATTCACCTGCGAAACGTACACACAACTGGAGTATAAATGAAACTTAAATACAATGCAATGTCACTGAAACAAATAATATTTAGAGACAGCTAAATGGTAATCCACATCTCTCATTTAGAATATTATCAGTGAAATGTTATGTTCCTACTGTGACTTTTTTTCATCCTAGTAAGCGCTTCTGATGAGAAAAGACACACAAGGGCTACGAGCGAAGTACAGTTCTAAAGCCCAATTCTGCAGTCTTCCCACTGCACAGCAAGTAGCATGTGATTAACTCACTAGTCACCATAAAAGAAGCGATCACTCAAGGTGAACAGCAGTTGCGGAATCTGGCCTGAGAACTGTTTCATATTGAGTGTGTATATCATTAAATAGTCTTACCTCAGTAAGTGCGTGCAGCTGTCCTTCATGCACACAGACACCCATAAACCTACAAAAAACAAGAAAAGAAAAGTGGTTTGGGCTTTTTTTCCCCCCCCCCCTTTTTTTTTTTTTTTTTTTTTTTTTTTTTTTTTAAACAAAAAAAAAAAATTATTAAAAAAAAAAAAAAGGGGTTTTGGCTTTTTTTCCCCCCCCCCCTTTTTTTTTTCTTTTTTTTTTTTTCTTTAAAGAAACTAAGATAGTAAGTATTAATGGATATTCCAAGAAAGAAGAAGAAAAAAAAAAAATTCTGCCTCACAGATACTGCATACCTCAAGGTTTATTATTTAAATTTCTCAGCACAAAACAAAATCATGTGTCTACACAACAATATAATTTGAATTAGTAGTCAAGGGAGCACAGGAGACAGCTCAAACTCAAGATGGAAAGTTATTAATTTGACTATAAGCAAAGGCCAGGATATAATGATTTACACAGAAAGGAACAGTCTCAGAGTTCTCTTTTAAGGAAGTTTAAGCCAAGTAATCCACTGTTGGTCTGCATAAATAGAAAATTACTTCCCTTTGCATTTTGCTGCTTAAGCATAAAGATGTTTCTTCCTATCCCATTCCTAACCACTCAGGAATATGAGGGCACATAAATGCAGTATACTTCCCCTCCCCAACCCCCTATTTCCAACACTTGGATCAAAGCAAGTTTCGATACTATCCGGTATACACACATTCCACAAAAGTTTCCTACACTGCCCAAGGTTCAGACTCCTGCTATTAATAGTAATGACTGTCACCCTTGATTTTCTGGAAAGCGATAGAGAATGTGCCATACATTTAACGCACGAGGAACACCTGAAAGTTCATTTTTACCACCATACAAGTTGAACTTATAACTGACAAAATGAAAATGAATATTAATGGTAAACATCTCCTATTAGAAAGTTCAGTAAAACTTAAATTGTACGCACTTCAGAGCCCTCCCCACGCAGTTTTAATATTGGTTCTTTTTAGATGAATGGATTTTCAATTTTATCATTTATATTTTGGTTTCAACAAGCAAAACCAAATTGTCTGCCATTTTCACGATGTTCAGAAATTTCCACTTTGCAAGCAAGGGGTAGAAATGCATGATTTCATAAAATGTGACAGGAAAATCTTGTGGAGAACAGTTTGAAGGAAAAGGACCTTTTATATCCTCAAACACTTCCGAATTCAAAAACAAAATGATGCAAGACACATGTAGTACTAGTTCAGCTAAGCTGCTTTTGAAGAAATGAATGATCCTCACTGTTCTCTTGTCTAACAGCTGACTGTTAAAATTACAAGCAGCCAAAGAAAAATAATATAGGTAAGGTCCTTTGCATAAGCTGAGCTGTGGAAATCTGTTTTTATAACCAAAGAAGAAGCAGGACTCGTACTTGAATGTCTGTTGCCTGCTCTCACCTCAAATAATACTCCCAAAATTAAATATGCAAATTTTAATTTGAGAGACAGTGAAAATCCAATTCCTCCTGTTAAATGAAGAATAGAGCATGACCAGATATTCAGGGGAAAGGGAAGAAGAGTTCTTTTAGATATACCATCTACTCAAAATATTGCTGTTTCTGAGTTTCACTTCATACAGCAATTGCATATGAACAATTTTGTAAACAAATTGACAAATTAAGCTTCCTGACACTAAGAAATGCAGACTCCTCCAGAGCAGAAATCTGTTTCTTCCTTAATGCATTCCGAAAGTCTCCAGACTTAGCAGGCATGGTGTTAATAGCTTTATTCACAAGCAAAAATGGAAAAAAAAAATCCAAGATATCAGTTCTACTATTAGACAATTTTTGAAAGTATTATTTTATCTTTTATGAAACATGCTAATTACACATGGTTAACCCAGTACTGCAGTATTTTCATTCAAGAAAAACTGAGGCTAAGTAATTAAAAATAATAATGTTTTCATTTGTGTATCAACTCTTCCTTTGTAAAGGTACATTACATTACAATGAATTCCTAATTTGAAAGTATTTGACTTAATTATAAAATGTATGCAATTAAGAATTTATGAAAATTTTGGCAAAATTGATTTTCTTGTCTCATCTTTATCAAATAGGAAAAACATCACTGTCACCTAAAGACTGGTAGAACAATTTTTTCTGCCAACCTGTTTTGATCAAGTCTCAATGGAAACATATTTGTTACCCTTGTGAGCCTACACTTAAGGCAGAAGAGACACACTGGCTCAACTTACCAAGAGTTCAAAAATTCTTAAACATTTAGGTTTCTACTGGGAAACAGACATGCATTTCTAACTTTAAATCAGAAATTAAAAACAAAGCTCAATATCATGATCTCATGGAAAAAAGTTGGATATAAAGATAAATGTATAAGCCCCACACATTTAAAAGTTATTACCCAGGAAAAAAGAAACCAGATACACTGATAAAAGACAGAATTAATGAGTTTACAAGCAACATACTGAAACCATTTAAATTTTGTGTTAAGAATCTCAGTTTTCATACTCTGGAAAATAGATCGATAGATCTCTAGTGATCCAAATTCCTGGAAAACTTCTTCTTAGCTGCTGTATCAAGCAATAATAAGCCTCTTGGTTAAGCCAAGTAGTGCTACAAAACACTGTTGGAAAGCATTTTCACTAAAAGATAATACATGCAGCTGCTACCAGGAAATACAATTACCGAGCAAGACTTAACATAAGATTTCGATTTCTGAGATTGCCCCAGATGAGATTCCAAGTTCTGTGGATAGGAAGCTGACATGCTGGCCCAGTACAGCTGAGATTATTCCTGTTGGCTAGACGCACTGTCTCCGGAGCCAAAATGTGCTTGTAGGTGAACTTCAGCAGAATGCCTTGTCAGCCAAAGGTTACACTTCCTATAAGCATTTCTAGCTGGAAGAAACTTCAATGAGCCAGTCATCCACAAAACAGGAGAACATTTGCAGATTTAAGGAAGTTTATTTTCAAGACAGTGTATCTGGCCTTATCAGAAAAGCTGAAGCACTTCCAAAATCATTAACTAGCGGTTGGAAAAGTTTCCCTAGAAGCTGCAAATATGAAGGATGCTATTTGAGTCCACCCTACTAAATACAGTGCAGCACATTTCCACCACAAAATGCTGTCTAACAAATGTCAGCAATGTTCAAATGTTGGAAGTCTCTTTCCATAAACCAGGTTATTCCTCAATCAGTCTGGAATACCTGCCCCCGTAGACAAGAACAAGAGGAGGTACTCTGAATATTTCTTAGTCCGTTAACAGCAGTTAACCAAACTGCTTTCAGTTCAGCCTGACTGCAAGGGAAAAAAGGACAGCAAGAACTGTAACCTTAGCCTGCAATCTTTGCCTCCTAACTAATATCCAGATTATACAGCCACTGTGGACATCTAGACTTGGAACACGTGCTTCCCATTAAAAGAACTTCACTGGGATGTGTTCCTGTTCTGTGGATAAACCTGGGGCATCTACAGTCCAACATAATAAATTGATGCCCTCTGAAATCTACCGCTTGTATGAGAAAATTCAGCAGTTTGATGATAACATTAAAAATAAGAAACAGACCAAACACACCAATACAAAAGTCTCTCGTATGAGCTCAAGTAACACAAAGAGAAACAAGGTCAAATGACAGATGCTTATTTCATTGCACTGACTGTTGGAGAACAAAGAGGGTGAGTGAGAATATTAAGTCTGCATTAAGACCTTCCTTAATGTTTTAGGCATCATGCTAGCTTAAAAATGTATTTTAAGTTTTCTACACTTGTGTTTGGATACAAGACACAGAGGTAAGGCATTCCATCTATCCTTTCTGTAACATAATTATACACAATGCATACAGCTTCCCTTCTGCTGTCTTGTGCACAGCATTTCTAATACACTCCTTTTTGATAACCACATTACACAGAATTATTTTTCTTTTCTGTTAAAGCACTGTTCAATACAGGACAAAGGCTGTTAAAGACAAAAGCCATCCTTCTGCCTATTGTAACAAAGTAATTTCACAAAAAGGAAGGCTTGACAGAAGAAAACTGCACACACACACACAGGTACTGTGTTCCCAGGGTGCTAGATTTGACTGAAAGGAGATGAAATACAATTCTCCTTGAAAGAAGTTCATGTGATACGCACACTGCTTGCTTATTTGGTGTGTGTGTACACGCACACAAGAAGGTGGATTTAATCAATGAGTCAGTCTGCCTGCACGCTCACTCCCAAACACGCAGCAATATCTCCAAGGACTCCCATGAGAGCACTTAAGACATGAGCTAAGGCTTTCTGGGTACGGAATGTTTTAAATTAAGTCCCCAAGGTACAGATCAAATAAAGAAATACTTTTTCATGCAAACAGTAGTGATATTAAAGACCAAAATTCTATTTCAAAATTGAAGATACACTAAGAGACAGCACAGAGATGGAGAATCTGTGTAAGCACACTACTTCATTTGTGAAAATGAGAAAAACACACCTGTAAAACATTACCAGAATGAAAAGGTATCCGTTCTCTCAGGCTGCAGCCCTAAGGCTCCCAGGCTAGGACACAAGGACAGAGATTTCTTGAGTCCTTTCCAGCCCTATTTTCTTACTCTGATTTGGGTAAAAACTCATGACTGTGGCAGCACATCAGCATTTAGAGAAGCAGCAAAGCAGTGAAAAACATTTACAAGCATACACTAGACCTTTCATAACCCTGGTACCGGATCTAACCCAAGCCTTGAACAGCACAGAGCTTTAAATGAGACACAAGCTAGTAAGGGAGTAAAGAAATGCTCCAAACCTCTGGTTCGCCTAACCCCAGCAATTACAGCTTTACCATGCATCAGCCAACATGTATTAATGTGGCTATAGTAAACATTGCATGGTGCAAAACAGAGCCCCAGCTCACTTTTCCACTCCTGCTCTTACCATCTGTTTTGAGGGAAGATGTGATAAAGCCAGCACATCCCACACCCAGTACAAGAAGTGTAGATAGGAGGCAGAAAAGCTTTTAGTCCTACATATTTAGGTTGCATGCAGGAACGAGGTGGAAATAGGAGATATGAGATGGGGCTGATGGCAGAAACAGATCAGAGCATTCCATGAACACTATTAGTCTGCTTTTGCCCTATCCGCTCCTAAATGTCCCTAAGCTGGTGCCTAGGGAAAAAAGCAAAACCAAAAAAGCAGATCTTTCATAAATACTTTCTTATGATCACCAGACAGTGACTGAACAAAAAGTTACACTACAGTTAAAATCTATTCTGCCTCTGGATCACATTAGCTAATTGAAATAGGAGGCAAGGGGAAGAGAGAAAAATAAAACCTCTAAATCCCCTTACTTTTTACCATCATGCCAATGTAACTGCAAGAGCTAGAGTCTTCTACACCAAGATATCCTTAACAGACTGACAAAGAGGTTCCATTTTTGCCAAAATAATCCCTTTAATAGAAGCCAGTTTCTCATTTTCTTGATGAAAAACATGTTAGAATTTTTTGTTTATATAGTTTATATATATGTATATATTTGACCACTAGAATCTTTGTGATGCTATACTTACTGGGGATTTGGTAAGTGAAAACTAAGTTCTTCACTTACATCAGTCTTCTCATCAAGATGGATCTACTTAGCTGGCCAAGAGGAGAATCTGAGCACAGAAATACTGAAAGGAGTGGGGAGATTTAAAGTTAGGATTTTACTCCATGCCCAGCAACATGAGTTATTTTTAAAGCCTAAATAACCAGACGGATACTTCACCAAGTATTAGAAGCAGGGAAACCGAAACACAGTGACACAACTCCATCTCCTAAAACAGTACAAAAGTATCACTGAGGTAAGAACGCAAGCCTACCTCTAGGTAATCTCTACCAAGCTTGGAAGAAAGTCCAAGTACTGACAAACTCACACTCCAGAATGGTTGTGGCAGGCTAGGATAAAAACCTCAAAAGGCATCGGTAACTGTGAAAACGAGTTGATATGGACAGCACAGAAGCAAAAGCTGTTTGAAATAGTCAGCAATATTTATTATTCACATCAGTGCAAAAATACAAGAATCTTTGCAGTAACATCTTGAAGTTAACTGTGGGCACATCAGAATGGATAACTTGTAAAAAGTTGCTATGTATTTTGGAGCACTGGCAAAGACACGGGTTTTTTAATCATCCAAAGGATAATGCTGATTTTTTGCTATCGAATACACTAGGAAAAAGAATCTCCCTTCCATATCACTTAGTTCATATAAAACAGGGAAGAGTTCTAGGGCAAAAACATTGATTCAATTACAAATTTCAGGTACTAAAGCATCAGGATGGTCAAAAACATAACCACACCCAGATTAAGGAAGATTTTAGTATACTAAAATAAATGCATCATTGCTGAATCTGACTTTCACTTTCTAAAACAGTAACTGACTGAACTGAATGTGTTGAAATAGTTTGAAAACAGACTTTGGATGCCGTAAAGCCAGTATCTATTCAGTTTCATAATTTTACAAGCCATTTGATAACAGAGCGCCTCGCAGTCTTCTACCCGCTACAATTAACCACTGCATGACATCAACTTTTCAGCCTAAGAATCCACTCGTATCCTTACTGGCAAACAACAGATCAGCACTAAGGAAGGTAACTTGTTTACAGCGTAAGTTAACAGTAGATAATCCTAACCTTACAGAAGATGAAGAAGCTCAGATGTATATGTTACATAAAATCAGAGTACACCTTCAAGGCAAGAGGAGGAGATTCAGTGACTAATCAATAAACAATTAAACTTGATGCTAGCGACAAAAGATCTTACTCAGTAATACAGAGGACTTTAAAGGACAGAAATTAAGTGAAGAAAATAACATTTAACAGCAAACTGAGGTAGCTCACGTTCCCTAGAAAGGGGAAGTAATACATTAGAACTTTTTGGAAGAGGATCATTCCCTTTAAATACTAATACA